CGATCAGTTTTTCCATGCAGAGTGTAATCTTTCAGCTGAAAAGCAAAATGTTTAATGAATTAAAAAGTAATTTCTAAACTTTTAAATGAAGATAAATGTTGTGAAGAGGGATAAATATTGTTTTGAAACTATCTAAATATCTTACATTAAAAAAGTCAACTACAATTCCATATTATTTATAGGAGACAGAATATAAAGAAACATACAAAAGCTACATTTTGCATTTACAAAAACGTAGCCATTTACAAAATAGCTTTTGAAAAAGAATTTGCCTTTCAAGCTTTGCCAGCAGTAGGACACTAACATAAAAGAACTGCCTTCCTAGCAGATTTAGAAGGCTAAGCAATTACCACATTAGGGAAAATGGGCTCAGAAATTTCCATCAATTGGCAACTGGCAGAAAAGCATCTCTTCATCTGCCAAACTCTACAATGCCCTTGGTGCCAACTCCAGTGTACACTTCACAAAGGCCAAAATAAATAAATAAAAAGAAGCAGCAACGGCAGATGCCAGAATCAGACAAACTTTAGACAAGAACTTCAGACAAGGCAAAAACATCTCTGCCCTCTAGAAAGGCAGAATCATTACTAGCTAGCACAAAGGGACTCAACACTAGGCTTTAATTTTCCTGAACCTAAGGAACTCATAGTGTTACCTGTGCAGGGACTCCACTATGGTCTCAGGATATAAAGCTAGGCAGTAGGTGACTTTCCTCGCTAGGAACCAAATACTTGTTGCGGAACTGGCAGAAACAGCAGTACACAATGAGGTGAAGGAACCACCATCTTGTTGCAAGACTGCTAGCCTTTCTAACCTGACTCACTCCCAGTTATATCCTCACATGGGTGATAAGCAGGTCCAATAAGGAACCTCCCAAAACAGTCAAATCTTACGATCTCAAGGCTGGCCTTGTACAACTGTACAACCAAGAAAAAAAAGCAGATTGTTTAACAAACAATCAATGGGGCAAAGTCTATTCAAATTCAGTTTCAATTCAAGTTCATCTCAGGACCCTAGCATAATGCACATTTAAACATGGGAAGAACCCAATATTACCAATGTGCTGTGCTGAAAGAGGCTAACATCTTAGTTTCAATTTGGAAAGTGAAGAATTAATAACATCTTGATTCCCTTTCCTTAAGAAAAAGAGAGGGTCTGCAATCTACATGTGCTTGCTTCCATGGTTGAAACAAATCACACAGTAAGGAAGACAATAATTGATCTACTAATGGCTACAGAAAAAGAGGAAAGTAGTAAGTTAGCAGTGATAATCAATTTAGAAGTTTGCCTGTTCCACCCAAGAATACTTGCAGCCTCCTCATCACTATTACTGAGGTCACTGTCTCACCATGCCCTCATTCCAGTAGCAGTAGGAGGGGCTGCTAATGCCGGTATAAAGTCTCTTCATTGAATTTCAAAGACTTCCCAATGAACTGGGCTCCCTCCTCAATAAGCCTGTAATATCACTAATGTGATAATGTCACAGTCATCTACTGGAATTTTAGATTGCTTATTCCAGGGAAAATGCCTGAAGACCTGAAATAAATTGGCCATGCAATGTAAAAAAGAAGTATTAATGGGTGAGGAAAATGATGTAGCAGGGAGAAGAGGGATTGGAAAAACAGTTTCAGTAAGAAGTTCTCATATTCCTCTGATCTATGTGCACGTTCTCTTTCTCAGTAGTAATTTTTTACTGTATTATCCTTTAGGAATGTGCAAAACAGGCAGTATTCAATTTGGAATTGGATTCGGCCTGATTCGGGGGACAGTGATTCAGTTCACTGATTCGGATCACTGTCCCGATTTGATTCAGCCAAATCTGAATTTGAAGATTTGGAGAATCAGCAATTTGGCCATAGAGACAGCTTTATATGTTTTTTCTATGTACCTTGAGATACTAGGCACAGCTCATGAACGCTGAGATGGTGGGGCAGATGGAACGTCCCATGGAAGCATGAAGGAGGGGTTCCCCACACACCCGGCAGGAGACCCCCCCTCCTGTGCCCCTGGCTCAGCAATTGGCCATAGGGGATCTTGGGTGCTCTCCCAGACCCACGAGGCACCAGTAGCCAAGCCTGAGGGTGGGCCCCCCCTCCGGCACACTCCACAGTGGACCCAAGAAATGGACTGGAAGTACTTCTGGTCCACTTCTGGGTCCACCGCCGAGCACAATGGGACCCCCCTTCGCTCCTGTGGGATGGTTAAACTCAGCGTTCACGAGCCGCACTTGGTACCTTGAAGTATGTAGAAAAAGCGTATAAAGCTGTGTCTGTGGTCAAATTGCTGAATCTCTCTGAATCGAATCAGAGGCTTCCAATTCGATTTGAAGAGATTAACGGGTCTTCTGATTCAATTTGGATTCGGAGATTTGGCCACCGAATTGGGCCAAATCTCCTCCGAATCGAATCGGTGACAGACGTTTCGCATAGCCCTACTATCCTTTAGGTGGAAGCAACCATTTACTGGAAACAGAAGCCACTTGTGTTAGTGAGGAAAAGCACTTAAGCTCTTTACTTCACTTTTTTCCTACTGATCTGTTTCCATCCGGGCCTGAAAAATGTCAAAGCCACTTCTGAGAGGATAAGGGATGGCAATCCATATACTGTTAAAATACAATAAATATCCTTTATTATAGATTAGATAATTAAGTGTGACTAAATTACAGTTTGGGGCTTTTAAAAAAAATAAATTGCTCTTGTAAGAAATATTCCTTTTGGTTAACAAATCCAATTAAAGCTCATAAGAATGACAAGCAAGAACATTATAGAACTGTTATAAATCAATCTCGCTGCTGTTGGCTTAGTCTAAATAAATTAATTTTTCAAATATTTTAACATTAAAATTTGAAGCATTTCCACAGCATAAAAGAAATACAGGAATACATACACATAGCAAGAACAAGAGGCTTGCCAGATAGTTCCAGATTTCTCAAAATCTACAGCTTTTTCCTTAGAAAACTGTGTCTATATAAGGAATGAGTAACTACCAACATTTTTTTATACTTGTTAAGATTCTTCAAATTTAGAGAAATAAAGATTTACAGGTAGGAGTGGCACAACTGTACCTTTTTGGACTGGACCATGTTGCTGGAACCTGTGTCCCTAAAGTGGAAGAGCGTCCCCCCTTCCCCTCTGTGTTAAAGAAACATGTCCTCTCTCCTCCCGCTCCTCCATCCCCCATCTGCAGTAGCTCCTTTCTTCACTGTCCCGGGGGTAAGGGAGTTTTTAGAGCTGCTTCTGGCCCTTCCAAGCTGGGCTGTACAGGGACTGGCCTAAGGCAGCTGCAGCAGCATCTTCCTGTGCCTGCTCCTGAGGAGACCAGATGGTATGGGGGAACCTACCTTCTCCCTACTTCTGCTGCCATTGTTTCCAGCTAATCCCAACCCCTGTTGAACCTGGGTGGAGTAAGCAGGAGCAGCTCTGAAGCTCCCCAAATCCAAGGGGCAGTTGGGAAAGCAGCAGCAAATGGAAGACGAGGGGACGGAACATATCTCTGAGCACGGAGGGGAAAGTGGGGGATGCGTACCTACTTTGGGAACTGAGGCTCCTGTTCCCAAAAGCTTCTATAGGTTCCTACCCAGAGGCTTCTGTAACTCATTTTCCCTCCACCAGTGGGTTGGCGGGGAGAGCAGGAGGAGAGGGAGAATGGGGATGCAGCCATCCCCACAACTCAGGTGGCTGCTCCCACACCCCTCTTTGCCAAATCCTGGATCCACTCCTGGCTGTTTTACATGTTTTTAGGCAAAGTTTCTAGTGCTCTGTTATTAAGAACCTTTATATCCAATAATCAGGTTTTGTCTAGCTGTCCATCTGAGTTACTGTGTACTTTTAGAACACAATGTTGTCAGTTCCAAAGCACTGTCAAATAAGGTATACATGACAGCTGAGAAAAAGTGCTAGCCCGTTAACAGGCTGAGTCATGAAACTGGTAGAGGCCAGCAGCAAATATATTAGTGAATTTGTCTATTCCAACAGAAAAATTCTGCTAGAAACCTACATTTTGGGTATTTTTACAGAGTAAACAAGCTATCTTCTGCATCATTAATTTTGGCAGCATGAAATGTTTTTTGTGTGAAACTTGGGAATGAAAGGAGGAAGCTACAAAGATGTAAAGATAGCATTCACTCACAATTTTATCTTTTCTTTTTATAGAGATTATTTCAAATCAAGCTCTCAACTCTAAAAACATTTTACCTACTATCTTCAGGACGATATAACTCAAAAAATATAGAGTACACTGATAATTTTTAACCAAAATATAAGCAATGCAACAGTGATGTTTTTTAGGTGTCACAAATGCCAAATTATGATATGAAATTATAAATAAATGTGGCAAAACATCTAGACTTTCTGGAACAGTTAATTGTATATTATATACATCTATACACACAAATATATAAGTATCTATGGCATTTCATCTATGGGTTTTTAAAAAAGGAAGTACTGGAACCTACCAGAGCTCCAACCACAGTGCAGTCACCTGACAGAGGACCTCACATAAGCCCAATGGTAAAATATCTATCTATCTAGATATATCTAGATATAGCTATATAGTAATAAAATGATGGAATATTTGGAAATTTTTCCCTGTATTTCAGGTGTTGACCCCTTCTCCACATACCGCTGACACATCCCTGCAAGCAATTGCATTTTGGGGGCTGCCATATATTCCACTGCTTCCAAATGCTTCGACCTGCTTAGGTGCATTATGAAGAGAGGTACTTTAAAAGATACCCAAGTATTTGTTTAGCACCAGAGCATGATTGCTAATTAAAAATATCAACTGTTCTACTTTTCTTCAAAATGCAGTCTGAACATCTTCCGTAACTATAATATGGGTTATATTTAAAAACAAATAACTTTTTGAAATTAGTTTTTAGATACAACTTAAAATACGGAAATAACTTTATTAACAAAACTTAAAATTATGACAGCATATAAAAAAAATGAAGAATCCTAATTTCATAATTATTGACTATCCAAAATGATTTGTTTTCTTACCTGCTTCCCATCCAGTGTGCAAAGTCTCTTCACAACACCTGAATCTAACTTAATGGCTTCTGTGATGTCAGTCAAGACTTGTTCAAAGGAATGTGCAGTCTTCTTATTCAGCAGAATTCTCACAGCTTTCCGTGGCTTCACTCCACTCCGAATAACAGTTACCAGCTTGGGTTTAATGAAATCTTTACTCTCTTTCACTTCACTTTTTGTAGATGTCAAAGACGTCAAGGATCGACTGGACCCAGTTCTTATATTCACACACCAGTTTGGATTGACATTCTTGGTATAATCAACTTTGCGATATGGCTCATTGGATGCACATACATAGCTTTCACCTAAAAAAAAAGAGACATTATTATGATTCATAGTTTGTTTCTTTGTTCATTTCGGATGCTGCTGAATGTTAATTCTTCAGATATACATTTCCAAACTGACAGTTTCTTTTCTGAAGCATAAGTATCTACTGGATTTCATCTACGTGTCTTTGAAAAGGAAGTACCGGAACCTACCAGAGCTTCCAATCCAAGACATAAGGCAAAGTCACCTGATAGAAAGGCTCACATAAAAAAGCAATAAAAATGAAATAATTGGAAATATTTCTATTTCAGGTGTTGACCCCTTCTCCACATACTGGTGAAAGATCCCTGTAAGCAATTACATTTGTGGGGCTCACAAAAGATGGTTATTTAAAGGCTTTTTCCACTTCATGGAACATATTCAATAAGAGTATGCCTATACTGCCACTGCAGTTACCCCAAGGTGCCCACAAATAAAGAGGCCCTATCCACTTGTTCTTGCACACACTGTTTATTAGTACACGACATTGTTTTTTGGTGCATGCCTCAGTTTATGGCATGCACCTAAGAATGGCAATGGGTATGCTCAAAACTGCTCTAGTGGTGAGCACACCTTTTTCACTGTGAAACACATACAGAGGGAACATATAGCTTTGACTTTTTTCCTGGCAGAAGTCTAAGGATTGCTATGTAGGCAGGTATAGATATATCTTCCCTATGCATGCTTAGGGAAACAGACTTGATCATAATGGCATTCTAATAAAAGACTCAATTATAGAAATAAATACAGATCCCTAAAAAAAAGTATAAGCATTTCCAAAAACCTGTACTTCAATATGTGATGACTTGCTATGGGAGTAGGCAACACCCCAAAACAAGCTATCTGAAATATTTTTATTGTTTAAAGAGGAAAACAGTTTTTAATCCCCCCTCATCTCTAAGATCACAGCCCAGACTATGGTTGAGAGGAATTTTATGACAGCCATTTGTTAAAATGTTGATATCACAGTTCTTTTACTCTTTAAAAGTACAAATGCAACTTCCAGACTTTCAATCCATTTTTTTCATGGAATCCCCAACACACACAATCTACAGCAGAATTTAGGTGGACATTGTATATGCCCACATACACATACAAAACAAGCAGCAGCACCATGTGGCTGATATTTGGAGGGGGGGGGTCACTTTATATAACTACCTAAACAGCACAACAGAGAAATGGAAAATGCTGCCAGAAATAAAGTGTTTTGAAGTAGCTGCAACCATGCTGCAGACTGAATCATGATGACTCACTGAAGTTAGATTATGATATTTGTGAAAGAAGCTGTTTTTCAGGGAATGATACAGAAGTTTATGAATATTCTGTGCTGAAATCTAGATTCCAGTTTTGGTCCCAATGGCCTGTTTCTAAACTTGAAATGAACATGCAAGTTATAATTATACTGGCATATATTTAATTTAGTCTTATTAATAAATGATGACTGATAAATATGTTAAATGTGATGTACATAGAAAATCTAAGTGCAAATAAAATAAAATATGCAATGTGGAACAATTATTATAAAAATACCTTACGTTCTCTATGGTTAACCATTTTTTCTAAATGGAAACTAACTGGTTATTTGTCATACAGTAACTATGATTCTTTGAGAGGCTGTCAGAAGTGCAACCCCCATAAAGGTGAACATCTCATGTGCAAGCAGAATTTTTTTTGACTACTAGTGTCAGATTCTCTGTGATCAAATGGTTGGACTTTTTCTTCCACTGGGTATCCATCCACCAAGAAAGACAACAAGCCTAAAAGGCCCGGTGTTATTACGGAAATAAAAATCTATAAATATAGGACATATATGTGTGGATTAGTCATCCTGAAACCAGCATCATTTTTAGGGAGGAACTGAGAACACTGACCTTTTCCTCTAGTTCACTGAGTTGTACCACAAGCAAACTCTCACAGACATTAGACCAAAATAATTAAGGACCACAAGCAAGTCTAGCAAGTGACATCATAAGGCCTGGAGTCTTCAAAGCATCAAGCTTCTACTTTCCCAGTATTGAGTTTCACTTTGGAAAGACTGGCAAGGCAATGGGTCGATTTGGATGGAATTCTAAAATCACTGGAGAGATTAATTTGGTCTCTAGTAATAAAACCAACCTTATATCTTTTGGAAGGATATGGAAGGCAATACAGTGTTAAGAAGCTGGAGTTTTCTTACTCTTTACTGAGGTAATAGCCATGAGAAAATGTTGGTTGTAGGGTGATAAACTGGGCACTGACCATAGTTCAACTGGGGCCCCCATGACTGGACATCAAGAAAGAAGAAGAATGTTAGAAGGGTTCAACAGGGTTTGATATTGGAAGGTGCAAGAAGACAGTATAAAACGGTGAACCTTAAACGGGACTAAAGTTTGAACTGCTTGTGTTTCCTGTGCAGACCAAGACTCTGCTAAATCAGTATAATTCCAAGCTGCTGACACTGCCATACGAGAGGGTGCTGGCTTCTGGCTGTTACTTCTTCCCTAATGGGGTAAGAGCTGTTTACCCAATGAATACTGAATGCAAATGCATAAATACCAGTGCTAGAGGGACTTGCTGTGTTCCTGTGTATCAGCCAGTCTTTCAGGTTTACATATATACATTCCCTACTTCCATGCATGCACTAACATGACCACTGGATATTTGGTGAACACTCTTGATGCCATGAAAATTCCATAGGGCAAATTTCTGCAAGGAAATAAAGATTTGGCCCTACTATAAATCTTTGATACTACCTATGCACCATGTGGGTGGCCATAGGTAAGTGTACATCCTGCAAGAAAAGGATTAATCTGTAAATTAGCTTACAGGAAGCTACAGAAAAACCTAAAAACAAAAACAAAAAACCCCCAAACTAATCCCCCCCCCAAAAAAAGAAAACCCCAAAGCCTTCGTCCTTTGTAGGTAAACAGTCTTTCATCTACAACATGTTTTTGTTTGATCTCAATATTTTCTCTAAGGCCAACCAAGGAGCCCAGCCTACAGCAAGTAGAGGACATTTTTATAAGCTCTTTTTGCTGTCAATGTTGTAATGACTGACAATTAGCACAAGGTTTTATCTGATAGTTGTAGACCCTCTTAAAATAGGGAAAGTGATTCTGGCTAGACCAGAAGTTAACATAATGTTGAACAGCTTGTGGGAATTCTCTGAGAAAAGTTCCAGTCTTGGCAGTCTGCACAAGGAACCCCTCAAACATTTGAAAGTCATTTGCTACCAGTACTAGTGTCAAAGATACCACTTTGACACTAGCTGAGGCTAGATGAACACCTTGCCGTGGTCGTTTGACCCCAGTACTCTTTTCTGCCATGGCAGGGAGGTCCGACTTGATGATCTGCTAAGGTTCCTTCTGACCTTACCAACTATGAAACTATGAAACTTCATCCACTGACAAAGAAAAAATAAATATTTGGGTGATGAGACTGATCACTGGAACGAATTCCACTTGTTATTTTGGCATTGGAATCAAATGGTTTCTCAGTGCCTGTAATGGTGGACCTCAGTGTCTTCAATAGGGCCAGAGTGGTATGCTTGATGATGACCAATGGCTTGAGGGTTGCTGTCAAGGCTAATGTTGGTCATGACATGCCAGCAGTTGTTGGAACTTTTAGATCTCCACTATTAATTGCAAACAGTAGGAAAGTTTCCTTCCTCAGTCATGAGGACATCATGTCTCAGTCTTCAAAAAAAGACTTCTAGGCCTAGCTCTAAATTCTAAGACCCCTTTTTATACTAGAGGCTTGGCACAGATTATGGACTAGATTCTGCCCAAGCCTCTTGCTGAAAGGCTGATCCAGATGCTGATAGGAGCATCATCAGCACCACACCAGGTGCCAATAGAATCTGCTAGGTACATTGCACTCTGCAATTTCCCTCCATTCCTTGACACTACGAAGGAGACTTTGCTGTGCCTATCTTTATGGGATGACACCAGGTTCCCTCCTGAACTGCTTCAACTGCTCATATTCAAGCAGAAGCTGGCTTTGGTACCAGTGCTAATCTTAATTGTCAATAATTGGAATTACTTCTCTAGTGATCGTCAACATTACCTTTCTATTCAATTCAATACTAGATTATCTTGGCTTGTCTATTAATATTTTTCTGGAACTTATTTCTGGCAAGACATTTATGAACTATTCCAAAATAGGGTATTTCAGTTTCATCTCCGATGACTTTTTGTTGCAGGGCACTGTTGGTGCCTGCCACTTTAAGGGCTGAGCCAAACAGCCAGCAGATGCTTGATTGTGGCAGCCATTTTGAGACCATGGCTGCCTATATAAACAGAGCAGTTAGCTACTAGCAGCCAGGTAGGAAATATTGTTTGGTTGAGCTGCTATATGAGACCATCTACAGGCAGGAACAGGAGGCTCTTGGTCCTAAGCATGACTTAAAACTGTACCCTGCTGGGAGTGGATGGCCTGGTGGGGCTCCCAATATTGTGGGAGCCTCCGGGAAAATACCAGACCAGTTACCACCCTGGTGGAAGGTGGGCTGTGGTGCCTCAGTAACTCCTACTCCTCACATCACTGTGCGTAGTAGTTGGGGCCGGGAATGGCTATCCCCACCTAAACACCCACTGGGGAGGAAAGCCCTGTAGCCCCAGGGAGGGGGCAGAAGATGTAGAGCCCCAGAAAGCTAGGAACTTGGTGTTTGTGTATAGTTGCCCTGAGAGGGGCCAGGGCAAGCCTGGCCCCTGTCAAGTAACTGGCTGGCTACTACCTTGGTGAGGGTTGTGGGAGAGGGCTAAAAGATAGTATGTCTGCTGCCCAAGGTGTATGCTAGATAAAGCCATTGGCTGCAGGGGCCTGCTCTGGGAGGGAGTGAGGTATAAACTTTTGATATGTGAAACCCCCTGTGAGAGGAGGGTGGTGTGAATGCATGCGTGTCTGAGGCCTGACAATGTGGGCTAAGCTTGGTCTGGCTGTAAGCCAGGAGCACCGTCACCTGGATGCCCTCCTGAAGCTTGGGCTGGAAAGTAGGGGAGGAACGGAGCTGCAGATGGTG